CCAACCTTCGATGTCCACAGGCTAAGAATAGAAGTAAATATGTTTTAAAGGAAAGATGAAACATGGAATATGAGGAAAGTGGTTCAAACAGAGGTAAAGTAAGGGAATGTAGGATCACATTAATATCTAAATCTGGAAGGGCAGGATGCCTGGGAGGGAGACATATCTGAAAGGAAAGCATGAGCATAGTGAGAACAAGGGAAGTAAAAACCCTACGGTATTGGGAAGAATGAAAGGTATGGGCTAAGGCCATTCAATATCCGGAAAGCAAGTAGACTGAAGGGTCAGGTGAGAAATTCCACCACAAGAGCCACAAAAGGCTTGTCACTGGTAAACTCCCTGGTAGTAGACCAACTGCAGAATACCTTCCAGTTGAGTTAGTACACCTCCATGAAAGATGGACGGATGGAACTAACTAACAAGGAATTGACTCAATGTGTAAAATTATATCGTCTTGCCAAGGACTGGACAAAAGCCAGGCTTGAAGACGCAGGACGTGAAGGGTGGGATGTAGGACAAGTAATCAAGATTGAATAAGAAGGGAGAGAAAAAGTGGATGTGGGGCAAGGGGGGGAGGAGCAGTCGTTATAACCTTGGAAACCAAGGCTGAGTTGGCCAATAAGGAGTAATCAGTAGAACTCGACAAGGAGTTGTGTGAACAAGAGAAATCCCCCGATGAAGTAATAAAATGGGTGGGTGCACATAAAGATACTTGTGTGACCAATCTTGGCTGAAGGCTTCAACTGCCAGAGCCTGTAGATGAGATACAAGTGACCAAAAGAGAGGTAACTTGGTGTTGAGACCCCTTAGCAAAGGCATCCATATGGGGAGAGCCCACCAATGGCAAAGATCCCTGAAAACAAGGGGAACTAATGCCCACTCCATAGGATATATCCGGTCATGGCGTGAAAGACGATCCATGCCTGATTAAAGCACCAAGCACGTGACATGCAATAAGACAAATTAAAAAAGAGAAAAAGTGCAAGTTCAAAATTTATTTGATAACCAAGATATCAATTTAAATTTTACGGAATAAACTTATTGTACAAAATAAAAAATTAGAATTCCACTTATGTCCATTTGGGAGTTCTAGCAGAAGAGAAATTCACTTGAATCAAAAGAAAACTATATGACAGAATGGTGGCTTCAATCAGTAAACAATGACAGTGCAGATGCACAAATAGAGTAGCTTCAAATTAACTTCATGCACGTGTGTATAAAACAGGTAGAACTATGAAGTCTAACTACTATGATCAGGTGGAATTTCTTCTACAGGTAAAATTTGGCAAACGTCCTTCAAAAATTTAATTTTTTTTATTTAAAATATTTATATTTAACCACACTTACTTTAAAATTAAGATGAAAACAACTCAACTGTGGCTAATGCTAATGAACAGGTTAAACTTAGCAAACTACTTATAACTTAAATTGATAAATTAGAAAATTGTTATTTTAAATGGCAATTATCTAATGTTATTTTAATATAATGTATCTGGTCATAAAATGTATATTTGCAGGAATATTGCAGGTAGATGAAAAAGTGTTAATTATTAAAATGAAACAAAAGGTTGACAAACACTAATAAACTTAATTTAATGGGATGAATCACAGAGGTTTCAGAACTTAAAATCTGAGAAAATAGTTCTAAGATGAAAAATAGAACAAGAGGAAGACTTACCATCAATAATATTAGAATACTTGTGAAGACAGGACAAGACAGTTGGGGAAAACTTTTTGTACATTCTATCAATATCTTCCTCAGTTGCAGCTTTCCCATGGACTTTAATCCATCGCTGTTGGACAGAAGCATTCTCCAAAATTTTTTTAATATGCACCTGTAATTAAGGTCACTATAAATGTAAGTTTTAACCAAATAGAAGAAT